AGCAGCGGTGGTCATGAGGCCTTAAAAGATAAGTTCACCTCTTTACAAAATGTAGGTGCACATTTTTGCAGGCAAAAAAATGTGCATTTATTATTTTTTGTTTCTGGGGCCTGTAAAGCATTGCAGGTCTCCTGCAGATCTGCTAGTATATCTGCTTGCCTGTACATCCCTTATATACTGACAGGAAGAACCAATGAACTACCACAGTGCTCCACAGCGCCAAGGTAGTTCATTCATTCACAGAACACCATGAATGAATGACGTGGCAGGTATTTTTTTAATTGTGACAACTAGCAGGGAGGAGAAGATCCCCCACTAGCTGTCACAATGGGAATCGGGGAGGAGTGTGCTACAGTCCGTTTGTAATATGTTAAACTCTGAATATGGCTCTAACATACAACATATTTTGAAAGCTCAACTTATACTTTAATGATAGTAGTACATTTATGTGATTTTGTTCCTACAGGAGATGCGCCTGTAGGATCCAAAGCATTAGGGACAATCACATTTTTTATTTTAATCACCTGAAGTCTAGAAGACTATGACTATGATCCCCACATCCTCCATCAACAAAATAGATACCCCTATAGTTTACACTTGTCTCAATCCAGAGCACTAAGTGTCATTTCTGTCTGCTTCTTCCTTTCTCTGCAATCTGCATGAGCCACTTGTGACAAGTTTTCCTGACAAGAAAAAAAAGGTGACAGACAAGGGAGCTCCCGCACACAGCCTGTGACTGAAAGTCTCAATGCTGTTCCTGTGTGCTGTGTGAAGGGGGGTATGTCCCTCCTCTCTGGCCAGCTCTCACTGTAGAGCTCTGAAGAGTGTAACTTCAGCTCCATGCCCCCTGCTTTTCAGAGAGAAGATAAGACTTCAGATAAATAGCTTCAACTTATGTAGGACGATTTGTTTCATCTCTGTGTATCACCTGAGACCAGGCACTTCAATGGGTATATGTGAGAGTTTACAACCACTTTAAAGCTTCCCCATGATCCTTAAAAAAACAGCTCTGGTTTGGAGATAAACTTAACTCTACCTAGGTGAAAATAAATGTCATCAGTCTAAAAATTGTCCCTATATGATATTTAAAAAATATACTGGTCCATGGAATCCAGTGTTGTCTTCCTTGTAGCGGAAGTTCCCCATGTGCCACTCTGCTTCTGCAATACCAACTCCTGTACCTGGTCCTCCCTGATTTTCAGGAGCATGCACACCACAAGGTTTCATGCATGCACAGACACGCATAGGTCTCTTCTATGTATTTTGGGCTATCCTGAGTGAGTGTGTAACTACTGCACTCACAGTGTAAAGATGTAAAGAGCAGCGCTGATATCATCAAGTCAGCTCTTCTCTCTACATTCATGAGAACCATCAACCACATGAGAAGTTCCTAGAAGACCCCAATGATTGTGTGACCATCCTAAGGATCTCTGAAAAACGGTAAGTATTGAGAAAAACAAAATACAACTTATGTGACAATCGCAGCGTCAGACCCCAGCCCTTCTCACCAAACTCGTGACTGAAGGACTAGCCAATCTAAAACCGCGTTGTCACGTGCGTAACAATGCCACGCCCAGCTGCACTCTGCACAAAGATTTTCCAGCTAATGGACCAATATCTGTGTATCTGCAGCCTGGGAGCGATTGTTACTGAGTCAGGATAATTACGCAATTAACCCTTCACACTGCCACCACCTCCTTTTTGTACAGAGAAAGAGGAAACTCGGCAATATTAGCATTAACACTATGATGGTTGGATAATCGTCTGTATACCACTGTCACCGCAGGCAGGTTATACAGAGGGTTAAACACACACACAGTAGCTCTCTTCAGCAGCAGGAATTCGTAATTTGCATTAAAGAGCTTTAGAAACAGTTCAACCCTTTTAGAAAGTAAGATTTATTACTAAAAGGTCAAAAGGGTGCAATAAAAATATTTACAGAAAAAGATGTAGCCAATATATCTATATAAATATACAGTGAACAATGGCACAGCAAAGAGATAACAGAAAGAAGTTTAGGTAGATAAAGTACTTGCCAAAAAGCCTTGGGTTAAGCAGCTTCAAGTTTCATGAGCCAAAAGGATTTCTTATCTCCCACTGTCAGTTTCGATGTTAAAGGGAGAATTTTCAACTTCTTTTCTTTTTCTCTCTCAGCCTAGCTTAGCTTTTTCTAGTAACTCCACAGGGTGTCACCCTGGAGCAGTAAACCAATCGCCTCATTTGGAGTTGTAGGTGGGGACCTCAGGCTATGACAAAAGCCTGCACAAATTATATTATGGTTCATAATTTACCCTGGATACATACAACATCCTATCCATGAGTAGATTATTATTCGGAATCACCTGCTAAATGGCTAGACATGAAACATGAAATATCTGCCCGAATGGTTAAGGAGATATATCTCTCCTAGATTGTAAGCTCGAAAGAGCAGGGCCTTTAAATCCCTCGTGTTTTGTTTTGTTACTGTATTGTCTCATGTTCTGTCCCTCACTATAATGTACAGCGCTGAGCAAACCTTTTAGCGCTATATAAATACTGTATAATAATAATATAATCCTCTGCTCTCCTGCGCATGCCAGACAGGGGGTGCAACATACCAGGAGAATGGTCTCAAATAGTTTAGGTAATTATGTCCTACGTGAAGATATCAACTTCTATGAAAAAGTGAGTTTTTAAAAGTAAGTCTGTTTTTATGACCCCCCGGAATGTCCTTTGAACTCAGTGAAGGACTTGGTTAATGGCTTTACAAGCCTAGATTGTGAAGTTAACAGACAGCTAGGCCCCAGTGGGATTTATATCCAGGATTCCCTCCCATGGAGTTTGTTGCCTGTGATCTCTGCAAACACACACCAACCACATGTCACTCAATAGAGAGGGAGGGGGGATGAGGAAAGCTGATTTGTGAGTAGAAATGATATAAAATGGAAGATTCTTAACAAGATGGATGACCGTGTCCATCTCGGTGTGCAAGATTGCTACAACCTACATGAAAGAATGGGGTGTAGGGTTGCAGAACTAGACAGACTTGGAGCTGTGCTTTAAGAATTTAGCACAATCAGAATATTTATTTAGAATTTTGTACCATTTTGTATCATAAAAACATGCATATAATGTAATCTAAATATAATTAACAAGAAAGTAATGCAAATACATTTTTTTCTTGCAATAATTGTTTCAGCTCAGTGGTGACCATCATGTAAACTGCACAACAAACAGTGAATATTGATGCTTTAATATGCATCCTGTTGCTAGATATGCTGCAGAATGACTGCATTGCCTGACTCCATCACATTTTATTCATCCCTTCATAGCAGGTGTATTAAATAATGCTTCTCTGGTGTAGCCTGCTAAGCCACAGAATCAATAATTATATTGCTTACTGCAGCAAATGAACACATTCAAATCCAAGCACCTTGATGAAATTAGTGCTGTAAATATAATAGCTAACTGGCAGAATACACTGTTAGCCCAACAGCAAGCAAACTTCCTTTGCAGCTTCTTAGATTTCTCTGCGGCTCTGCAGGAGCTGTATGGCCATGGGTCATTTACTTGCCTGTACATAGTAAAAAAGTCTCTGAGGTCATTAGGCAGGGAAGGGAACGCACTCTATCACACATTAATGCCCCAGGCTTGTTCTTAGAGGGCCTGGCATTCATTTCACTTTCAGATCCATGAGAACAGTTGCTGTCATTAACTAAGCACACTGCTAATGAGGCACTTCTTAAAAGGTGCCTTTGTCCATAGCAAGCAAGATGAATACATAGCTATACAACAACTGACCATAGGAGATACAGATACAGTATGTCATATTTGTTATTTTAAGTGTATGTAACCCCTAATATTTTTTGTATTCCTTCCCTTTTAGTTTGTAAACTGTGTAATACTATTGAAAACATTTTGTTATATCTGCGCGATATGTAAAAAAAAAAATTCTCTGAGCTCCGAACATCCACTGAAATCTAAAGCACTGTTATCAGTCCCACCCAGTTCACTTCTGTGAACTACAGAACATCTCCCCCATATGCTATGACAATGAGGAGAGGGGGAGATGCTCTGTAGTGATACCATACTTCCTGTCCTGGGGTAACAACACTGCTCCTCCATAGATACAGTACACTAAGAAAGCATTGTTACCTTAGGACAGGAAGCATTTTACAGAATTGCCCATGTGTTTTCAGCCTAGTAGTTATTCTCATGAGCCCAAGCACTGCCACACCATTTGTACCATGTACAGGTACATTCCTGATAACAGCATATTACTTTGCAAAACCCAGCTAGAAATGTCATGGTACAAATCACTTTGGACAGCATGGAGTTTATTTACTAAAGCTGGAGATTCCAAAATCAGACTCCCTTCTGCATAGAAACCAATCAGCTTCCAGATTTCATTGCCAAAGCTTCATTGAACAAGCTGAGGTTAGAATCTGATTGGTTTCTATGTAGAAGGGAGTCTGCTTTTGGACTCTCCAGCTTTAGTAAATAAACTCCCATGGGTCTTTAAAGTGGTTCTAAGGGTAAGACATGTTTTACCTTAATTCATTCCTGCATTAACCATTTGCCCTCCAGTGGATTTACCCCCCTTCCTGACCAGGCCATTTTTTGCAATACAGTGCTGTGTTACCTTAATTGACAATCCTGCGGTCATGCAATGCTGCACACAAATAAAATTTACGTCCTTTTTTTTCCCCCACAAATTGAGCTTTCTTTTGGTGGTATTTGATCAGCTGTGCGTGATTTATTTTTTGCACTATAAAAAAAAAAATAAAAAATTTTTGAAAATAAAAACCCTATATTTTGGCCTTTTTGCTATTAAACATGTCCAGTAAAAAAAATAAAAAAATCTAATTTCATCATAAATTTAGGCCAAAATGTATTCTGCTACGTCTTTGCAAAAAAAAATCCCAATACATGTAAATTAATCAGTTTAAGTGCAAGTTACAGAGTTTACAAATGGCGGTATATATACTGGAATTTTTTTTTTTTCCCAGTAATGGCAGCGATCAGCAACTTATAGCGGGACTGCGGCGGGCATTCTGATACTGGGGGGAACTGACTTGGTGTCACTGATATCATCACCAATACAGTGATCAGTGCTAATAAAGAGCACTGACTTTGTACTAATGGAACTGGGCAGGAAGGGGTTAACATGTGGGGCGATCAAAGGGTTAATTGTGTGCTGTTTTACTATGTGGGCTGTGTGTGTTTCACTGTAAGCACACTGCTTTGTATGGTTCTGACAGGGGAGAGATCTGTATTGTTTACATACAGGTCTTTCCCCCATCGGGAATCCTCAGAGATCGCCGGGTGCTGGCGAGGAATCACCAGTCGGGACCCGGTGATTGACAGGCAAGGACACGAATGGCGATGCAGGTAGAGCGTGCGCGTCCCCTGCTTGAAACTACAAAATCACGTACTGTTTATATACGTGATTTTGCACACCCGTGCCGCCCTGTAGCAGTATTTCTGCTATAGGGTGGTGGGAAGCGGTTAAAGAATACAAAAACCCAACATTTTATATTCCTGATATGTACCTGTTGTACCATGTACTTGTATTAAAAAGTTTCCTCTTCTATTTGTATGGCTTCCTTTGTGTGAAATCCTTGCATTCCTGCCAGTCCCTCTGCTCTCCTATACAGGGGTAGTAAACTCTTCTGTTATACTTTTACCTACAGGTAAGCTTATAATAAAGCTTACCTGTATGTAAATATCTCCTAAACGTGCACTGTTTAGGAGATATTCGCTGTTTTTGACAGCCGGTGCATGCGCTCTGAAGGAACGGCATACCTGTGCCGTTCCTTCAGAGTACTGTGTCGTGTCCCAGGACTCCCGAGGCATGCGCTGGAGTGACGTCATCGCGGCCTGGCCACTCAAGGGGCTGGAGCTCATGAACCCGGAAGGAAGACCGAGTAAAGATGGAAACCACTGCAGCGGTAACAGCGTGGGGCTGGAGGGATTTTTTTTAAGGTAAGTACTTCATAATGTGCTGGTATGTGATGCATACTAACACATTACGGCATTACCTTGCAGGCGATATTTGTTTCTCATCTGCAACTTGACCACACTAAACTGACCACACTAGGCAGGAGAGAATACCATGGTCAGTTCTCTAGCTAGCCATGTTTCTCCAATAATCAGACGTCTGCTCACCCCCCCTTCCCCCCCAACACACACACACAGCCATTCACTGGGAAGATCAGTGTATGGCTGTTTCTCCTCCCTTAGCTCTTATACAGCTGAGAACAGAGGGAATGTGATCACTTATAAAAAAGGGAAAATAAGGTATTTATAATGTTTTTAACCACTTGCCTACCAGGCACTTTTACCCTCTTCTTGCCCAGGCCAATTTTCACCTTTCAGTGCTGTTGCACTTTGAATGACAATTGCAAGGTCATGCAACACTGTTGTGCATTTCATTTCTATTTTAAACTGAATGAGTGGTATTACAAAGTGAGGGTTTACAATCACGTTAAGGTAAAAAATGTTCCAGTAGTTGTATTGTCCCCTCACCTCCCAATAAACCTACCTATCTAGATTAAGCTTTGTGTTGCAGCGGCTATGGTCTGTGCTCCTCTCCTGACAGGACACAGAGGGAGCAGCAAGGGCCATCGCCTCCTCCTGCTGTCATGCAAATACTGTGAGGAGGGAGCTAGGGGCAGGGCCAAGCCTGATGAAGAAGGGACACCCTTCCCCTTGATGGGATTCGCGCTATCTTCAAGTCCCTTTGAGGACTTACAGTTGTGACCAAAATTATTCAACCCCCAATGCTGTAAAGGGTTTAGGGACTATAGGGAATTGTATTCAGAATCAAATCCTACAAGGACGTTGTAACTACCCAAATGCAACTAAAATGACATCAATTGTTTATGTAATACAGTAGTAAATGGTTCTTATGTGGTTTCTTCATTGCCACAATTATTCAACCCCTTAAAGGAAGAACAGAGGTTCATACAGGTGCTTTCCATCAGGTATTGAAAACACCTGTGGATGTCACCGAGCAGCAATCAAGCATAATAAGCAGGCAGCTTTAAAATGACTGTGATACTCAGCTCCTTCTAGACATTTACTGGTGTGGTTACAAACATGGTGAAGGCAAGAGGATGGTCCAGGAAGACAAGAGAAGAGGTGATTTCTCTTCACAGGAAGGGCAATGGCTATAAGAAGATTGCAAAGATGTTAAACATACCAAGAGACACCTTAGGAAGCATCATTCGCAAATTCAAGGCAAAGGGCACTGTTGAAACGCTACCTGGTCGTGGCAGAAAGAAGATGCTGACTTCGACTGCTGTGCGCTACCTGAAGCGTAGAGTGGAGAGAAGTCCCCGTGTGACTGCTGAGGAACTGAGAAAAGATTTGTCAGATGTGGGTACAGAAGTTTCAGCCCAGACAATAAGACGCACACTGCGTAATGAAGGCCTCCGTGCCAGAACTCCCAGGCGTACCCCCTTGCTGTCTCCAAAGAATAAGAAGAGTCGACTGCAGTATGCTGTGGACAAACCACAAAAGTTGTGGGATAGTGTTCTGTGGACTGATTGAAACAAAATTTAGAATGTTTGGGCCCATGGATCATATGTTTGGAGGAGGAAGAACAAGGCCTATGATGAAAAGAACACCTTGCCTACTGTGAAGCATGGTGGTATCAATCATGCTTTGGGGCTGTTTTGCTTCTGCAGGTACAGGGAAGCTTCAGCGTGTGCAAGGTACCATGAATTCTCTTCAGTACCAGGAGATATTGGATGGAAACGTGATGCAGTCCCGTTCACACACCTGAGGCTTGGGAGACGTTGGACCTTTCAACAGGACAATGATCCCAAGCATCCTTATTATTTTCCAGACTAGAGCATGGTTGCAGAGGAAAGGCTGGAACATTTTGGAGTGGCCATCGCAACCAGACTTAAATCCGAGAGAACCTCTGGTGGGACCAGTTGCAGTGCGCAAGCCTAAGAATGTGACTGAACTGGAGGCCTTGGAAGAATGGGCGAAGATTCCCGTGATCGCAAGACACTGTGTCTGATGCTTCACGTTTAAAAGCTGTTAGCAAAGGATGCTGTAAGTACTAAGATTGAATGTCCTTAATAAAACTGATTGCTGTGAGCACAGAAAAGACATTTGTGGTTATTTCATTATAACTGTTTTGTTATATTTGTCTGACCTACAAGTGCCTCTTTAATGTAAATGTAAGCAAGATGACTGAATGATCAAAAGCAATGTCAAAGGCCAAAACACTCAATTTCAGTGGGGGTTGAATAATTTTGGTCACAACTGTACATGCCTGATTTCATTCGCTGTTTGTGAGTATATTTTTACAAATAATACATTTTGGTTACTGAGGTAATGCGCAAGGTTGGTGCGCTTCTCGTTTTCATTTCATTCTACGGGAGCATGCCCACACGTCTGCTCCACAGCACATTGCTTGCTATGGTCACAGACATAGAAGAGGATGAGCCAAAAGCTCCAGTGGGGGCCCTGATAAGAGGAAGGTTGGGGTCGTTCTGTGCAATGTCTGCACAGAGCAGGTAAGTATAACATCCTTATTATTTTAGAAAAAAATATAGTTTTAACCACCCTAAGTAGCTGTACACAATATGCAAACTGAGCCACAAACAGTGTGTAAAAGTGTTAACGAATGATTTTTAAGTTCAAGTCCAAGGTTAATTTTCTGGGGCTGATGTCTTATGCATATGCTTATTTAAATAAGCCAAAATACTTTATCAAAATCAGTCACGTTTTATTTTATTATTCTGACTGATGTAACTAAGGGAGGTTACTGCACTTTGCATATCACTATTGATCTTTGCATTTCTGCAATAAAGAAGTCTAATTTTAGAGTAAAGCTTAAATTGATGCTAAACTAAAAAAAAAAAAAATCTATTGAAGTTTGTATGCTTAATTCAAAAATTCCCTTCTATTGCTCTCAGCCTCTTTCAGATCTCCAAAATCCATTTTTTGCTGCTTTGATCTGACGTTCTGTTAGAAGAAGGCTACATTCACTCTCCAAAGTCCCTCTGTATGTAGGAATTGAGCCACACCCCCTTTCTCACTTCCAAAATGGACCGGGGACTAGGGACTGTAGCACCACCCCTGAAGGAGCCACTTGGTAAATTTGGGCTCTCTGTTCTGTACCTTGACTCCAAGAACAACCTCAGCTCCTCTGGCACACATGATTGACTGTAAATCACTGCAAGCATGGATAAATACATGATTGTGAAATACATTTAACCTGGCTGTGGGTTACTACCAGTAAAAAAAACATACAATCGTTTGGTAAATGAAATGGTAAAGTCCTAAAGTGGAACTGCACTGCATCACAAACCAAAAATGCTATATAATTCATTTGTAATATTTAAAACAAACTCCTCCATCCATCCATGTCTCCATGCTTTATTTTGTTGACAAATCATTTTGAAAAACATCCCCTGGCATTTCGGGCAGTGGCCATCTTGAGTAGGGGTAGATGATTCATGTAGCAGTTATTTCCTGGAATCCATCTGTCCTTAGCTCAAGCATTGGCTGAGCTGAGAACCCTCCCTCCCCTCCTGAAGACTCCTGGGATGTATGACATCATTTGCCTAGGCATGAAAACCAGGAAGTAAATGAAGGAATGCATAAAAAAGGTTAAAACAAGTAAATATTAGTATTATTATTATACAGGATTTATATAGCGCCAACAGTTTGCTCAGCACTTTACAATATAATGGGAGACAATACAGCAACGATACAGTTCAATACAAGACGGAAAGGAGGGCCCTGCTCCTTGGAGCTTACAATCTAAGAGGTGATATACTTCCCTATCTACTAATGGATTGGAAAATAGTCCATGTTGATTGAGATTGTGAAGTTCCACTTTAATCTATTGATACGGGTTAGAAATAAATGGCTAATTGAACATAAATGAGCACACAGCTGATTCTAACACAGTCTGCTAGACAGAGAAAAACCTATGTTAAAATGAGATTTTATACCCCTAACTAGGATCAGAAGGGTAAGTTAGTAAATCAGCAATAAACAATATTGGTAAGCGTTAAAAGCAGTATAAATGATGATAACAATACATTAGGTTAGAGTGCACTCTAAGGGATTAGCTGGGATGCAGCTTCTCTTAAGAGTACCTTTTTAACCACTTGCTGACCGCAGATAGCCGAATGACGGTTTCACTGCGGCCGGTCAGTTCTGGGAGGGTGTCATATGACGTCCTCCCAGAATGCGCCCCTGGGGGCATGCACCTGGC